GCCGTCGCCGCCGCGGCTGGCGGCGCCCAAATCGATCACTTGAACGGTGCCGTCCCCGCAGCCGCAAAACAGGAGGCCGTCCGCCGCCGCCATTGAGTAAGGGAAGTCGGGCAGCTGCCACCAGCAGACGGGCGCGAGGCATGCACGTGGGTCGAGAGCGCAGGCGCGGCCGTCGGCGCCGGTGGTGGCGATGAGCCCCGCAGTTGCCAGGCCGCCTGGTGTTTGGTTGTGGCAAGGGTAAAGTGCAGCAGTTGGGTTTGCGGGGTCAGAGATACGGGCGTGGTCATGCGAGGTCAAACATTTAACCAGGCCGTGAAGTTGAAGGTTTAGTCGGAGACAAGCACAGCACTTTGCATCGTGGAGCGGAGTGACCGGTTTCTGCACTTCTGCGCATTTGAGCACCTGCACAGCACCGCGAAGCTGCCTCAGTCATTCATCCACCCAGGCTCTTGCCGAAGCCGAGGCCAACCGATTGTTTGCACCCACCACGCAGCGGCCGCACCTGCCAGTATCCCTGTGACCGCGCCTCTCCCCTTCTCAGACGCGTGGGCCCGCCGCTCCGCAACGCTCCTGCCCCCAGGCGCCCGCACGTCCCACGCCCTGACCGCGCCATCCTGCCCGCCGCTCAAGAACACGCTGCCGCCGCCACCAAACACATCCTGTCCAGTCGCCGCTGCTCCTGCCGCTCCTGCCGCTCCTGCCGCTCCTGCCGCTCCTGCCGCTCCTGCCGCTCCTGCCGCTCCTGCTGCTCCTGCTGCTCCTGCTGCTCCTGCTGCTCCTGCTGCTGCGCCCCCACTGGACCCCATTCCTCCAGAGTCAGCCGCCGCGGCCCAAGCGAGCGCCGTCACGTGGCCCTCATGGGCGTGTCTGCAGGTCCAGCCAGGCGCCTGGCAGCTTCCCGCCAGGTCCCACGCAGCCACCGCTCCGGCGCGGTCCCCTGTCGCGCCGCACCACAATCACATTGCGCACGCAGTGATTTCTGGCACGGCCGAGCAGCTGCCGCCCTCGGGGGTTTGCACGATCGAACTTGCGTTTGTCAGTGCAGCATATACGCCCCTTCAACAGATGGTGTTTCCAATCTCAATTTGCAAGCGGCTGCTGGCCGCCCACCTGCAATGGCCCACGCTCCACCAGGCCCGCCTCCGACCTCCAACTCCAAGACCGAGCCCCCAGGACCCGGGAAGCTTCCCCGCCCCGCCGCCGCAGCCGCCCGCGGCCCGGACACGTCCCAGAGGCGCAGGGTTTTATCGTAGCTGCAGCTGAGCGCCAGCGGCGCGGCGGCGAAGGGGAGGGAGCGCACCTGGGATGGCGTGGGTGCAGGGGTGTGCAGATTGAAGCGGTGTAGGCCTCAGGCTCCAGAGCCACCTGGCAGGTCACCCGTCACGACACTGGGTTTCAAAATAGGTCTGAGCGCGATCGCGCAGTTCCATCACAGGAGCGTGGCGTGCAGATTGGTACGAAGACCCCAGGGACTGCTGCACTACACGTCGCTCGCTGCTGCTGCCACCGACACCCCAGCGTGCCGTGAGCGCCCCGCTGCGCGGCGCTGCTCGTTCGCAATGAGCCGACGGCTCTGCGCGCCGCGCCACCATGATGATCACATACGTGACCAATAGTTCAGCCTTTTGAAATGCAAATCGTAGACCTTCAAGCCCGGCCTGCGCTGCGCCTTACCTGCGAAATCGGAGCCGAGTGGCCCCGCAGCACGATTCCAGCCGCCCCCGCCGCCGGCCACAGCCATAGCGCGCCGTCCATGCCGCCAGACAGGACCCGGCCGTCCGGCAGCCACGCCACCGCCGTCACCCACCTGCGGGGGGTTACACAAGGGGGTTCGATGGAGGCAGCGGCGGCGGGGCTGAGCGTGGGCGGGTGGCGGTGGCGGTGGCATCGGCGGGGCGTTGGCTAATCTGTGGCCTGCGCTAGACGGCCGTTCCACTGCAAGCCGCCTGCAGCCGCACACTCCCCTTCACTGCCCAGCAGCGTACCCCATCACGTTGTCACCAATTCCCGCAGCGCAGCACGCCCCGCACTTGCTCGCGCGCGCGCGCGTGTGCGTTTGCTCACTCTTTGTGGCCGCACGATTTCGTGTACAGCGTCCGCCGGCGCTTCGCGGTGGCTGCATCCACCACATACAAACCGTGATCTGCAGATCCCAAGACCACCTCGCCCTCGCGTCCCCTCGGCTGCCAGCGCGCGGCCGAGCAGATCAGCGGCCGCTCAGACAGCTGGCAGCGGCGGCCGACGGCGGCGGTGGGGCCGGCGCGCCACGAGGCTGCCAGCGGCCGCCACGGGGCGGCGCCGCGCGGCAGGGGCGATGTTGACGGTGGGGGCAGCGCTGGCCCCAACGAGCTGCTGTCAGCGCAGGTGGGCGCGGGTGGCCGCGGTGCAACGGGTCCGCGGCCGCTTGCGCTGCCGCTTGCGCGGGGGTGGCGCGTGCTTTGCGCCTGCTGCGGCTGGAGCTCCTCGCTGCATCCAGTGCCGACCCAGGGCAGCTGCTGCCGCGGCTGTTGCTGCGGCCCTGATCCAACTACACGGAGTCCCTCCTCAAACAGCCGCATGTAGGCATCGTTTTCCGCGTCGGATGCGCAAGCCTGGTGCCGCTGCAGGTTGGCGCTCGCTCCGATGCTGCACGCTGGGCCGCGCGTGCCTTGACCACACTGTGCTGTCCGGCCCTGCGTGGCATGATCGCAGCCGCTGCCGCCACTGCATTCATCTTGCTTTCGGCTCTGCCTTCGTTGCTGCTTCAGCCTCTCCAGGGCGTCGGCCATATCGTATCGCTCCACTGTCGATCGCGGTCAGCGGGTGGACACGTGCGTCGCGGGTGAAGCAATAGAAAAGGATTATGAAAGGCGTCCTTGTCCAAACTACCGTAGGTTGAATAGGACGCGTGATTCCAGAAGAGTGCCCACTGGTTAGCAGTGACGACTGAAAGCTTTGCCGATGCGTTCGTCCCAGGCACGCAGCGACGCATCCGAAAAGACACTAGATAGATACTGAGACCATTTACAAGTATTAATTGATTCCGGACAACTCCTCACGCTTTCCTGTCAGGTGCAGATCATTGCGTCGATCGGCTCAGGGAGTGTCGCATAAGGTGTGGCAGCAGCTCGTGATATCCCAGACGCGTGTTGGAGGCACCGCGCTGGTTTCACTAGGGTTGGTGAAGTGAGGCTTCCTGCCAAGCTCAGCCCTCGGTTGTTTGCTGTGCATTGACAAACAAATGTTCGAGGTAGGAACTCTTGTACTCCTTGCCGCACTGCGCAGACGGGGTGCGCCACACACGAGCCTGCAGCAGCACACACGGCGATCGCGTGCCTGCGTCAGCTGCGGCGACCGCCCTCGTCATGGCGACAGCTGGCCTGGGCTCAAAGTTTGCGGCGTTTTGGAACCATCCAGCCGGGCCGAAGACAAGTGAGTGGGAGGGACGGTTGGGGAGGGATAGGGACCAGGGGCAGGGTTGGTAACGGCTCAGCACCGGCCTGGGGTGTCGCCTGTGTTGTGCAGTGCATCACCAGCCGGTTGCTAGGCGGAGGCCAATGGGAGGCACTTGCTTGCTGATGGTGAAGCATGGAGGGGGCTATGGAGCAGGCAAGCCGCTTACGATGTACCCCCTTGCTACCCCGCTGCCCTTCGCCTCGGCGCGCCACCCAACATCGTGCTCGGCGCCAGTTCACTTTTGGGTGGGTCGCGCGCGGCGCCTGGCCCAGCGGCCCGCGCTGCCTGGCCGCTCGCAGCACTCTGTCCAGTTGCCGCAGAGCCATCGCAGACTCTGTTCGATGCAGTCTGGGCCGACCAAGCTCCACCAGGCTGTAGCGGTGGTGTCTGTATCACTGGCAGCGATTGTTGCAGCGGCGGCCGCCCTCCTCTCGCCTCCACGCGCTTTTACCCACCCGGCCATATGCCACGCGTTCACTCAACATATCACCCGCAGGCCCCCACCTTCAAGTGGGGTATCACATTCGCAAACATCGCGGATCTGCAGCGGCCGCCCGAGAAGCTGTCGTACCCGCAGCAAATCGGTCAGTCAACAGACGGGCAGCATGGGCGCCAGAGTTATCGGAAGTCATCCTGGGCCCTTGTTATTGTTTTCCCCTGGGATTTGGGGCGTGAGTGCAGGTTGAAAAATGTGGCTGATTGGCATCGTCGTGCGGCGCTCTGCAATTCTAAGGCTTTGATTACCCACTTGTTGCCAGTCGGCGGATTCCAGACGATGGCCGCACGAGCGCCTGGGTTGCTGGTGGCCCGCCCCATCGCCCATCGGCACCCCCCTCCCCCTCGCATGCCCGCGCCCGCCCGCCTCCCCTGGCAGCCGTCACCGCCACTGGCGTGATCTGGTCGCGCTACAGCACCCAGATCACGCCGGTCAACTACAACCTGCTGGCGGTCAACTTCTTCATGGCCGTCACCGGCGGCTACCAGCTGTCGCGGAAGCTGCGCCATGACTATGGAGGGGGCGCGGACAAACCCGCGGTGGCTTGAGTTGTGTGGCTCTGAGAGTTGAAGCGCCTGGAGCCAAGGTGTGCGGCCGTGAGGCGACTGCCCCTGAGCTTTTTGTTTAGCGGCCCTGCGTTGTGTGCAGCGGCAAGGCTCAGCTGTTGTGCGCGGACTGGCCAGTCGGTGGCGCTGCGGACTCTTTCGCAGGTCGATTGCAGCGTACTGCCATTCCTGCGCCTGCTGCCACAACTGTAATGCAGGTTGGCTTGCCTTAGAACATCTACCAAACCTACAAACAAAAGGCAGCGGTGATTCACATCATGTATGCACGCGATGCAGTTGAATTTTAGACAGCACAGTAATGCCACAAGGGGCGGCGATCCTCTTGATCACAAGTGAAAAGACAAGTCACAGGGCCATCGATGAATGGCAAAGATGAATATCACATACACCAGAACAAAACAACCTGGGGGTGTATTGGAGCACGCGCATTCATGCACTCTGAGATAATCAATGGTCAACACTGCCTCCCCTGTGCCGAGCACGCACACACGCACGCACGCCTG